CAGTGTAGGCACGGTGAAATCTGATTTGCTTCTAATAATATTGCATACTAATTGTGATGCATGGGCTGTTTGGTGCTCTGTCATCTCGAAATCTGGCCATAGAAGTGTATTAGGTTTGTGTATTTTCTATTTAGAATGACTAATGAAATTAAGGTAGACAGATGAATAAATAGTTAGGTAAACAAATACAGAAATTAATGAATAACCAAAGCTAATAAAAATAGTCCATCTAGTCTAGAAAACTGAGTGTGGTCTATTTTAGATATTAACAAACACTGATATGTTTTGTATTTATCTTCTGGTCCACAATTTCTTATTTGCTTGCAATGTTTATAAACTGTAACATGTGTGTTTTGCAATAAACAAAGAAGTTCTATCTTATATTATTCTCCTATTCATCTTCTCTAACACCCCCTCATTTCTCCCTCTGACTCTCTCTGTCTTTTTCAACTCTCTCCAACAGCTGGTAAGAAACTGGGAAAAAAAAAAAAAGCCTAGTTTTTTAGAAAAAAAATGCTAGCATGGTTAGGATTTATTAATGAAGTTAACTATGACCAAATGCTTAGTCTTTAACTTTTAAAAATTATTGAATTAAATTATGTGATACCTAATGGTCTTTATTTTCTGGTCAGTAAAGAAAGACATAAAGGAGAGGTATTTAATACATTTCAAAATACATTCAATTTTGTGTGTGTTGGGGGGATGGGGGGGGTGATTTCATGGCTTAAACAAGTCCATGCCTTTTTTTTTTTTCTCCCCCCAGTGTCAGCTGTTTGAAGAAATGAGATTAGGACCAGGGAACCAAGGGGTGGTTCTGCTAAAGCTGAAATAAAGAGCAAGGAAAGATTTTTCCCAACACAAACTTAAATGATATTAAGCTTTGTATCTGAAGTTATATAATAGAGGATGTGATGTCACACATGTAAATTGCAAATGCTGAGTCCTGCACTTTATGGTGGTGAACCTCAGGGAGCTTGACACTAATAGGAAGAGGGAGGGAGGCGTTCTGTGGTTCAGTGACTGTGAATGGAGGGTGAACAATTGTCAAAAGGGAGATATCTGATTTAAGATTTCAGATTACTTAGCTGCTGTAAGTAGTCTCCATCTATTTGGGGATGGAGTTAATGCCCTTTTCTGTGCTTTTTCTTTTCCTTAATTTTTTTTTCTCTTAAAAACATTTTCTTCCTTTGGCAAAGAAAAAAAAATATTTAAAAGGATGAAAAGAACAAACTGTGTTAAGAGACAGCCTTAAAAATAAGTGGTGGCATTTCCTGCATACACTTTTTGAAGTTGACAGGTTCCTTATTAATGGGCGTTGGAATGAATGTATTCCGAACAGCCAGAACCCCCTGCATTCCCATCTCTGATGGAGTCTCTCAGAGGCACCCCGTTTGGAATGATTCCAAGCAAAACCAGTGCCACTTTCTCTTCAGATGAGGGAGCTGCTGATCTTGTCCTGGAGCTGTCCTCCCTTCCCTTCAGGGTGGCACAGGACCACCTCTTGTCTGACAGCTAGCCAAAGAAAATGAAGAGAAAAACTTAATTGTTCAATCATTTGGGCAAATATCTAAATACTCAGCTATCCAAAAACAAACAAAGGTTTGTGTATTATTAATTGCAAGATCCCCTAATATCTCTCCCAAAGGATAGGAGAAGCTGATATCTATGGGCAAATGGACCACCTCTTGAAGCTATTTTGGTGTGAAAAAGTTTCAAAATAATATCTATGTATGCTTAAAACCTCAATCTTAGTTTTACAATGCCCAACTATTTCAGAGACAGGGAAGATAAAAATTTGAGAATGGACAAGAAAAAACAGGGAAAAAAAATCTGAATTTCTAAAATGTTTTATGGTTCGAATAACCCCATTTTACACCATAGTCTGATCCCTGACAAGCTGTCTGTAATGGAGTGTATTGACTGAATAGGGATGGGGAGTACCTGAGTATAGAATGCGGATGGTAAGTCATTTTGTAAAGGGGGCAGGAATGGTCAATGCCTAATTTATCAATTTTGTAAACAGAATTCACATCATATAGGTTACCTTAAATAAGGGTTTTTCTCTAACATGTCATTATGAAAATTTTCAAATACAAAAAAGTTGAAGGAATTTTACAGTGAACACCTGTATACCAACCACCTGGATTCTACCAGTCATGTCGTACTATATGCATGCTTTGTCTATCCATCCTTCAGACTACTTCATCAATCCATCAGTGTTAGTCCATCTTATTTTTTATGCATTTCAAAATTCAGTTTTTGCAGCCAGTACACTTCAAAATAGTGGTTCTTTAAAATTTCATTGAATGTATATTAATATGCTAATTTGAAAATACATTATTCAATTGTTTTCTGGATTTCACCGAAAAATAATGCCTTATGGACTTCACATTCCCTACATATAAGAAAAGTGAGGCAAAAGGTTGTTTCTCTAGAGGCCAAAATGCCACCTTGAGCCGTCTAAGAACTGAGCAGTGCCAACATTGCGTAGTTGATGGATGCAGCCGGAAGGTCGATATTCGGAGTGGGAATGTGGTTGAAGACAGACAGCGATTGTTTTAACAGGGCAGCTCTGTGTTTAACATGGTTTTGTGTGGGAAGGGATTAGCAACTTTCACAGCTATTTAGGAAAAAAACGGGAAAGAACCCAGAAAAAGGCGCGGGGGGGGGCGTGAGGTGGGGGAGGCTCCAATAGAAGGTAGAAAAATGAGGGTCAAGCGGGAAAAGGGGTGTGTGTGGTCAGCTCTCGAGTTTAACTGAGTCATAATGGACAACAAGCAGGGGAGCCTGTAAGTGGCAGGGACTTGCACAGTGCATTCCCCCCACCCCGCCCAAGCTTACACCAAGGCGAAGTGTAACGGTGCGGTGAAAAGTCTGAGGCTGAAGTGTCTCTCGCACACACGTGAGTGTGTGTGAACACGCACATATCCCCTGATGGGGGTGATGTGTGTGTCAGGGGATGGGGGACTTGGGACTTTGGGGCGGCTTAGGAGCCAGGAGGTGGCTCTGTAGGTCAGCGGGAGCAGGAAAATCCCGGGATGGGGGGAGTGGGGGGTCACAGCTCCATCCTCTGCCACCCCTCCACGAGCCCGCGCGCGACAGCCCGCCCCCCCCTGCTAGGTCGCCCCCCTTTCACTTTCGCGTCTGCGTAGGTGTCTGCCCCGGCGGGCGCGGGGGCGCGCAGGGCGGCTCAGGGGCGCGCGGCGCTCCGAGAGCGGAGGAAGGAGGGGGCCTGGAGCGCGGCCCCTTCGAAGCTAGGCTTGCTCCCGGGACCCGCCGCCGTTGACGTCTCAGCCGCCGTGAGACCTGGGAGACCGTGGCGGCCCCAGATGCTCACCCCTCACCCCACGCGCCCCCGCGCGCAGACACGCCGCGCTTCCTCGGAACCCCCCACGGTGGGGGTGGGGCAGAGGCGCGGCGAGCGAGAGACAGGGAGGAAAGGAGCAGCCTCCCCCGGTGGGCAGCGAGGGAGCTCGGAAAGAAACTTTTCGCTCCCGCCCCCGGCGCGTGGTCCCCAGCCCGCGCCGCCCCACGCGGGTGGGAACTGCACCTGAGGCTGGGTGCGAGGTCAGGGCCAGACACTGGGGGGACCTTGGGGAGGGGTGGCAGGCTACGTGCATTGGGGTGCCGGTTTCCCTCGGCCTCCTCGCTGCCGGCAGCCTGGGTGGTAAGACAGCCAGCCCCTGGCGCCCCCAGCTCGGTTTCCCACCAGCCGTGGCTGGACGCTTTGCTGCCTCCTCCCGCTGGTGAGGGTGTGACCCGGGGAGGGGGCCGCGGCGCCGCGGGCTCCCCCTGCGGCCGCTACCGCCCCCCCTCCCCACGCGCGCGCGCGCTCCGTCGCCGGAGCTGTCACCGGCCACCCCTGGCCCGTGGAGGGGGCGCAGAGAGCCGCACTGAGAGGCAGCCGGCGCGAGATCATCCCGTGGGACTTCTCGGCTCCCAGGGCCGCTGCTGTCAACGCCCGGGAGACCAGCAGCCCCAGAGAGGGGCCCGCCCGAGCCGGCCGCCGCTGCTCGGGGCCGGCAGGCACCCGCTTCTCCCTCTGCACGATTTGGCGCCGGCGCCTCGCCTGCTTCTGCGGGCTAACAGCGCTACTGCTCTATTGCTCTACCCACCGTTAGTAGGGGGACGGCCGGAATTACCACCTTCTCCATCCTTACTGCCGATCTGCTAATACTGGACTTACTAGTGGCGGCGGCGGCGGCGGCGGCGGCAGCCTCTCTGCT